ATAAGGTACCTTAGAAGCCTTTTGCTAAACCCTTTAGGTAATAACAGCGCGAACAAGTTATAAAAACACAAATATTACTTTCGTTTTTATGAATTTCGTATTTATAAAATCATTACCTACTTACTAATGCTCAGAAACCATAACTGTGGACTCAACAAAAAATTTAAGAACTCATAATTCAGGGTGGCTTTTCTAAAGATGCCCAAATTCACACAGGAGGTTCAGACCCAGTAGTGTAATTGTTTATTGGAATAAACGTTTTTTTTTTTTTAATTGCCTTTCTATTCCCTATAAAACAGAACGTGTTAACAATGCGGTAGTCATTCATAAATACATCGTATACTTATGAAACGAACTTGTGCGCGTGTTAGTTATGAATGATCGCGCGTAAAATAAATGAATGTAATTAATTAATTGTGTAAGTGATTTTAAATATTTATAATTTTTTATAAAACATTATTTAGGTCTAGAATTTAATGAAAATAAATGGATACACTTAGAATCCTTCCTGTAGAATTCAAAACCGGTCAAGTGATGATTTAATTGCTTGAGTAGACAAAATAAACAAGTGTGAGTCGGACTCACACACGAAGGGTTCCGTACCATTATCTATAAAAACGGCAAGAAAACCGTGTCTGTTGTATGGGAGCCCCCACCCAAATTTTTTTTTTATTCTGTTTTTTAGTATTTGTTTTCGAGGGGTAACAGAAATACATCATATGTGATTTCAACTGTCTTACTATCACGGTTCATGGGATACAGCCTGGTGATAGACGGACAGAAGACAGACAGACAAACAGAGAACAGTCTTAGTAATAGGGTCCCGTTCTACCCTTTGTGTACGAAACTATAAAAAAGAAAGATTATTATTTATAGGCACACAAGATACTTGGAAATTAAAATACTTAATTAAGAATTAAAAATAAAACTAAAACAGTTATCCGAATATGCTCGGTGCTGGATTTGGACTGGCGATTTTTTTAGTAGGTTTGAATTTGATTTTTCCTGTTTTAGATTTTAAACAGCATATGGCTGTCCCGCAATTTTTTTATTAATTGAAATGTGTATATACAAAAAAGAGTTTTATACGTTGCATTTATAATTGTGACATTTGCAATATTTTATCTGTCCATAAAGTTGACCGAATTATTGATGTATGTCGGTGATATTTAAAGGTCATTCACAGTAAAAAGGGAATTATTTATGTACTTCATGTTATTTACTAATATTTTAACAATGTTTCAAAATAACGCTTTCAATAATGCGCCTAAGACACGATTAACAAAACCTTCAAAGTAAGACATGTTAAAATATGGGAAAGAAAATATAAACTTTTTGGAAATCAAGTGACAACCCTAGCCAGAGCCGTGTAGCAGTTTCTGCTGTTTAAACGAGCAAACTGGTCCGTGGAAGTGACACGACCTCACGAATGATCAGACTAAAGTGAAAGTGTCGCCTATTTTGCATTTCGACTGGGGCGAATCTGGCACTCATTTAAGGTTTTATACCTTACAGATATTGTTAGTGAAAGTGAAGAAACAGCTAGCGTCTGATGAAACGCCTACTCGCTTACACTCTCTCAAATAAAAAGGCAAGGAATCTGCAATTTCTCTGTTATTTTGGTTAACTACCACCAGAGATACCCTTCGCTGGCTTGCAAAAAGTATAAAATCGTTTAAGTAACAACAAATAAGAACTTATAGTGCCCTTTTTTTAGATAGGAATAGAATAAACAATTAAGAGAATTGGCTATGGCTCAAACGGTACCTAACATTATGACGTAAATCGAATATAAGCGCTTATAAGTTATCGAAAAAGAATTATAATAAAGTCTCCGGCGTATAATGGAAGTGTTACATTTGCGGTTTCGCCTGGTGAGTGAGGTAGCCGGGGCCCACTTTATAACAAGGTGGCGACGCATCTTCAACCCATCAAGTGTTCTACACCTCAATGGATGGCGGTTATCACTTAACATCAATATCGGTGCTGGGGGTCACGGGATCGATTCCCACATAGGACAAATATTTGTGTGACCTCACAGATAAATGTTTCGGATCCGGTTGTTACTTCCCAAGGAGGATTAACATCAGGCAGGTCGTAAAAACCTATTCAATACAACTAACAAATGATTGACGTGTAATATGAATAACATAGTTTAATATAATGATCAAAGTATAGCCAAAAAGAATAATAACGGACATTCCAACGTTTTATAGTGTTAAGTATTATATCATATCGGAAAAAAAATGTCGGAGTTGTCAATTCTGAACAGGATCCAAACGCATTCATTTCACAACCTTAATAATCATTAAGGCAAGGCCGACGAATGTTTATTGAATTTCGAATGTTCGAGGTTTCCCTCGTTTCTTTTCTATAAACTGAACCCAACCAATGCTTTCGTATTGCAAAACATCCGACCTCGATGGCCCTTAGATGACACACCATAGTTAAACGCACACATGAGCACATGCGTGGCCCTACCCACAGCGGAGGGCCCAAACCCGTGGGTTCTGGCTAGCCCACCGGTTCTGCGTCTGATGAAGCTTTAATAGTCTCGGTACTGAAAGCAAAAACATCAGTCATAAAAAAAAAACATCCGAAGAAAACACCGTCGTTGATGACACATAATATTATTAATTCCTCCATGTTCCTTCCGTTATGTTATCCGACGATCAAAGAATAATATACGTTAAATCTATACTATGTATAATATATCTCTATACTAATATGATAAAGATGAAGAGTTTGTTTGTTTCAACGCGCTAATCTCTGGCAATACTAGTCGGATTTGAAAAAGTCTTTTTACATATTTAAATTTGATAGCTCTACTCTTGGAAAGGTTATAAGGTATTTAACATGACGCTACGACATACGCTTTACATTATATGACATTGTATGAGTGCATGTGACGGATGATATCTGATGATCTAGTGCCGTGATCATTGATCCGCTCAGTGTCCGTAGACTCGCCTTTAATTGAATTTACTCGAGCAACCTGAGTTCGATCCCCGGTGCCAGCACCAATGAAATTGTTTATTTTAAGTGCTGACTTATCACGCGCTCGGCGGTGAAGGAAAACATCGTGAGGTAACCCTGCATATTTTCGAAATAATAAAAAAAAATATTTGGAAAAATGTGCGAAGTCCGCCAATCCGCAGTGGGATCACGTGGTTGACTATGCCCTGATACCCACTTTACAGAGGAGGCCTTTGCCCAGCAGTGGGACACTTATAGGCCGTTACTTTACTTTACTTTTTTATCTCTGATGTTGATATACTTTATCAAATTCAAAATTTGTATAAGAAGTTGCAAATAAAACAGGCTGGCATTTTATTGTTGACTTTTTTATGATAATAGAGTTAAAAATATACTTTCACAGTACATAATGCTAGTTATATTTAAAATGTCGCCCATGTAAGATGTTTTGAGATAAATAAGAATACAGAAAAATTAATAAAAAAAGATTTTTTGTGTTATTTACATTGAATTATATACTTTATACCACGTTAATAAAAGATATTATAAGCATATGGTGTATTATGTAGTACCGTAAGTGAAAGTACTATTTTTAATACTAATTTTATCTCCTTTTTCCTCGATATTGAATGAATGTGGCGAAAATTCTAGAAATTGATTTGAATTTTCTGTAGTTAGTTTAGTCGTTTAGGCTAGATGCGACAACCATTCAACGTTTAATGAGATATGTATTAATGATCCAAGTTATACTTTTACTCATTATTGCGTATGTCTAGATCAAAGAACATGAAAACCTCATATCGATACCGATTCGACGCCTATTTCCTTCACACGGCATTGATCTTAAGTTTACAGATAAACGCATCGTTATCTCAAGTGTTATAGTTATATCTGACATCGGACGTCCAATGCAAATAAAACAGTGGAGGTTGGTCAACAACACGGTGACAACATCAGGGCCAGATTTAGAGGTCTGGAGGCCTCGGGGCAACAAAGGATTGGAGGCCCCTCGGCCCCAAATTAATTTCTATTGATTTCTTGTTGTTTGTATATGTTTGTACAAAGTACTGTAGGTAAAAGTAAAACGCGAAAAAAATATGAAAGGAATATTTGTTTGGTTGGTTTCCTAGTCTGATTTTGATTTTTTTTTCCGAAGTCCCTATTTGTCCGGAGGCCCTTGACAAGTTGCCCTCCCCTAAATCCGGCCCTCGACAACATACTCATTTTTGACGACACGAAGATACACTTTTTGGGCATAATATGACTCTTCTATCACAGCACTATATAGTCTCAAAATAAGCAAAGCTTGCACTGTAGATACTAGATAACAGCTTAACGTACCCAAAAATGTAAATAACAACACGCTATCGATATATAAATAGACACTAGAACAACACTATTTGTATCCTGCGATATTTTTCCAGTCATCGAACACACTCCCTGGCGTAAGAAACAGGTTCATTGTCCACTACGCCGGTAAGGACGTTAATTCACATACGAATCTAAGAAGAATGGAGAAGAAGCGTTGTTATATCTCCCTTCTACAGCGTTACAAAGAAAAACTGTTCACTGTAGGGCGAGAAATGCGATCAACGAAGCAACACTCACGCTTTGTTGACATTTACAGCGCTATAGCGACCACTTTCGCTTCGTAACTCTCTCCATGCTTTTCGGCTTATAGATCACAATAATATTTCGTCTCATCTTCTTAATTATAGTTGTTTAAAAGCAAGATAATCTCCCCGAAGTCTTTTATAATATAAAGTATTTCAAACTGAACTATACATTTTGAGTCCCATCTGAAGTAGAAATGGAAATTTGGCGCGTGAAATTACATTTTTTACAGGGATTTACAATGGCATGTTTATAAAAACTCTAATTGGAGTTTGTATTGAGTTAAGTTGGAAATATTAATAGCACTCAGTATGTTAAATTTTGTTTTGAGTGGTTTAAGTTAGCTCTGGACATCAAATTTCAAGTCACTGAAACTGGACGAAACCGACACACAATATTAGCTCACTCACCGTTCTGTCGAGCGTCGTCACCGAGCACGCCGCGAACACCTCCGTACTCTCCGTAGGGGTTATTTTACCCACGCAGTCCAGAGCCACCATCGCGACACACCGCCGGGAAGGATGGCGTACGCCGTGTATCACACACAGTTGGAAATAACGAGCTGTTTCACGCGGCGCGACACGCGGTCATGGACAGCGGGTCGAGGCAACGCGACACACGACCGCGAAGGACAGCGTTGTTACGAGTGCTGTCGAGTTCGACCGTGTGTCCGCATTCGATATTGTCAGCAGACTGACACAGTGCGACTACTTCAGACGGTACGGAGCTAGCTCAACTGGAAGTGCCTCTCTCGGTCATTAACACGATTACGTCAGTACAGTGAATATAGTGATATATACAAATACTTGCTTTTCGCCCGCGGCTTCGCTCGCGTTGAAACCCTCAAATAAATACCTTTCTTTAAAAACTATATATTTCTAATTAAAAAATAGCCTATGTCCTTTCTCAGGCTCTAGACTATCTGTATAAAACATTTTACGGTGGTAGGGCCACACAGCAGGCCTCGGCTGTTGCACGAATGGGCAGGTCCGTCCGGGTAAGTACCACGACCTTACAGAAGACCGGCGTAAAGTGGAAGTATGACAAATACTTTCGCGTTTCGTCTGGTGAGTGAGGTAGCCGGAGCCCAATTTTCAAAAGGTTGTCAACGCATCTGTAACCCTCGGGTGTGGCAGATGTCCATGGGCGGCGGTATTCACTTAACATCAGGTGAACCGTCTGCTCGTTTGACAACTTTGCGCATAAAAAAAAATCAAATTTCATTTAATTCATAAAATTGTGGGGGTTCGTCCTACACTGCGATGACCAGTACGGGGCTGCCACTCGAGAACCTTTCTTCCCCAACGGTTATCGGTTCTACGAGCTATACGGCCGGCCAAACACTTGAGCGATATCTCGATATCTCCATACCTATTTATATTTAAATTGTTTATCTCAGCTAGACGTGAACACGAAATCGGTACTTCGATTTGTTAATTTTTAGTTTTTAGCCGTGATATCTCAGTGTCTGGACACTCGCTTTTAATTCAATATACTCGACCAATCTGAGTTCAGATCCCAGTGCTGGCGCCATTGGAATCGGTACTTATAATTTTAAGTGCTGTTTTATCATATGCTCATCGATTTAAGGAAACGAAATACTTGAATAATAAAAATAATTCGTAAATATTTGAAGCCTGCTTATCGAAGCTGGGATCGTGTGGTCGACTATGCTCTAATAACATCTGTGGAAAAGAGCTTTGTATAGCAGTGGGACATATATTCCATCGCTAAGAAGTATAAAGTCGATCGCGAATTGAGATCTGGGCTTTCGGTCCCATCGGGTACGTGTTTTTAAGTTTTTGTATGTGTTTTTTTTTAGTTAAATTCAAGATTCAAGAGTATGATAGCTATCTCTATCTACTGCACCGACTAGAAAGAGAGCGAGGGTATGCAAGAGTATGATAGCTATCTCTATATAGAAAGAGAGCGAGTATTTGCATTTTAAATTAAACATAATTACGGCTACATAACGCCCGGATACCGGTTCTTACGCGTGATTGTTTAATTGTCTGTTTGTCTGTCGCTAAGCTGGCGATAACCAATGATTGCTGATACCTCACTGTCTCGTTTGGAATTTCTTATACTCACACGTTCGATAAACGAACACTATTTGTTCATGATAGTAACATAAGCGTAAATAAAAATGCATTCGTTGTTAAATTAAAATAGTTTTATATAGTAAAATAGTTTTTACGCAATTTTTAAATTAAACAAAATGTTATTATTTGTGCTATTAGAAAAATATAACCCGTACTGTACGAAAACATTATTCTGTGTTGTAAGAACGTTTTACATACATAACTTTCACGTAGACAAACACCCAGATCCGGAACAATTATCTATTTGTCACACAAATAGTTGTCCCGTGTGGGCATCGAACCCATGACCCCCGGCACCGTAGCCAATTCAAACACAAAATACAATATATACAGGATTTTGAATCTATACCTATCTCTATTCATGTGTAATATGTATTATAAGACAATTATACATTTCTTTGTAGGCCTTGCTAAATAAAAAAAGAACTAAAATATACTCATCTGAGGATCAATCTGAGGGTAGTGCTTAACCTATGTAAGTAATCCAATATGTTATGGGTAAAGTAATAAAAGAATTATTAAACTATAAACAATAAATAGATATGAAACAATACCTGCTCATGATTTTGAGTTAATCAACAATTAAACAAAAATAACAACTTTACTTGTGTCCCTCGTCCCACCTTCTGTTACAAAATGTCTGCGTATTCTTTGGCCGAATTAATTAGTCAATAAGCCACTTCCATACGAGCTGTATCTCTCAAATCTCACACGATCTCGCATGACTCACGCACGTGAGCCGGGCCTGACGCCGCAGCGGGTCAAATTTCTACAGTTATGCCAGTTTTGGGTCAGGGAAGTGAACGAAAACGCTTCACTTCGTCCTTTGCGTACTGAAGACGTTTGAATTGGGTATTTTCGGGAGATATTTTTACACAGCGTTATCTAGTCCCAAACTGAGCAAAGCTTGGACATGGATATAGGTAACTGATAAACATACTAAAACATACTTTTGTTAATAAACACATACTATAGATATATAAACAACCAGAAACTAGAAAACACTATGTTCTTCACACAATATTCTGCCAGTAGTGGGGATTGAACCCATATCTTAGGCGTAATAGACAGGGTCACTATCCACTACGCCAATAGGGAATTGCTTCGATAATTTAGTTTAAGTGTACAGAAGTGTAAGAAAGAAACTTGACGTTTCATTTGTTAACATGATTATTGGTGACGCCTGCTTTTCGGATCTCTAACGTGCAAAACTCACACGCCCGGTTCCTGAAACACTGATCATCGTAGATGTCAACTAATCAGCTGTCAAATGATTTTCAAATTTCATTTTAGTTGCCAAAAGGATGTTTAAACTCTTTGAATTGATCGTTCTGATCATAAAGAAGATCATTCTGGTCAATTCAGAGAGTTTAACCATCCTTTTGGTACCTAAATTGTAATTTGAAAATCCATTTGACAGCTGATTAGTTGACATCTACGTTGATCAATGTTTCAGAAACCGGGCGACAGGCTCTCATTGTTGATTATCAAATGAACCGTTCATTGAACGACTAATCTCAAAGATCCTCTACGGATCTTTGGACATCAAGGTTGTCAAAACCGGATCTTTCACGTCTGTCGAAACCGACAGCCCTGATGCTCAAATCAGTTTGTCCTCAGAACTTTGAATATCCGAGAAGATATAATAAAACTAACCGGGGACTAATTGGTAAGTCAATCAGTGAGCTTCGCGGCACCACGTATTACGTGATCGGTCGAAGATGGCCTTGTCACCGATTCACGCGGATGCGGATCCGCGTGGTGAAAGACTAATTAAATGCAATTGCATTGTGAGATAGATGACTTAATTATGCAGACGAAGGAGTGCATTACCGGTGTTGCCAACTTTTCCTCAGAGAAATCAATAAATCTTGATTAAAATGTCACAATATAACGCATACTAACGCATCACTGAATGAATTGATAAAAAACCAAAGGAAATGCTGGGTTAAAATCTCCACATAATCCACGCCACTTTTTACGAAAGCAGCCTTTCATTTTTCAGATTTAAACTGACTGACACTTATGGCTGATTTTTAATTAGTGCCAGTATTTCCGGAAGTACCTACCCACTGTCCAATAGAAACACCAATAAGAGACATCTAACTCTGAAAGGGATTCACTGGGATAGTGATGCGAAAAAAGGTCCCATGGAACAATATCGAAAAACGAACAACAATATCTCGCAATAACTTTCACTGAATAATTAAATGTATTACTGGATTATTAATTTACGAAATGTATGATACTGAATCTGATTTATTGGATGTTGTGTTGCTTATGACATAAGTCTAAACTCGAACTGTGTCACGGTAGTCGAACGGAACACCTACTATTTGATTTCATTTTACGAGAGATGTCATCTCAAAATTTACTATCTATAGCAACACTGACTATAGAGCTCACGGCACGAGCCGAGCAGTGTGGGAATTTCTACACGTGCTTATAGACACTGCATTCCACGGATGGCTTTGAATGACATGTTTCAACCGACTTAAAACAACCGACGAAAAATGAGGTTTTCAATTCGCTTGTATTTTTACATTGTTGGCTCCGTCATTAATGTATCGATTTTAAAAATTCCTTTTGCGTTGGGTTCGGCTTAGCTCCCATGCGGTCCCATATCAATATCATATTGGATCTTGGACTCCGGAGATACATCAGGTAACTCCTCAACCTCGAATAGTAAATGTAAACTGAGTGAGATGTTTGAACTCGATCTTATTCTCCATACGAACCTTACTAGCTTTAGATCAGGATAGGCCTCTCAATGAGTATTTATGTCATATAAGGTAATATTTTGCACGGATATGCACTTACACAAATACATACCTGGTTAAAGTTACGCAACTAGATGGTTTTTTTTATGGAGAAAAACAAACGAGCAGGAGGCTCACCCGATGGTAAGCGATTAACATGAACACCTGCAACACCCGAGCCACAAATGCGTTGCAGGCCTTTTAAGATAGAGTGCATACTCTATCTAAGGGAGCAATCTCTTCTTGAAGATTCTCCAGGTCATAATGGTTCGGAAAGACCGGCGATAGCTGGTTCCGCAGTGTGGTTGTGGAAGAAGCCAGTGTATTTTTATTGTACTACTTTAGTACCTTTTTATGAGGAGTTTTTAATGATGCAGTCAAGCGAGCACGCTGTTCAGACATCCACACCAGAAGGCTTGCAAAGCAACCATTCAAAATGTGGGCAACGCGCAAGTATATAATATTCCCACTTCATACTGATCTACTGGGTGGCCGCTGCACTTCCCTGAATCCTAAACAAACATCTTTATATGTATGTCATACAAATATTTTTAACTGGGCGGGGTTCACGTGGCATTATGTGTCAATTAGCAACTTTCCAGGGGTTCACGTGGCATTATGAGGGCACGTGTCTATTAG